TTTTATTGCTCTAAATTACTTGATCATAATCATCAGCTCTAGCTAAAGCTGCTAGACCATCTGGGTTAAGTTTACCACATCTCGGGTATAATTTGGCTCGATCATCTTTTGTTAACTCTGTACCAAAAGAATTTATAGTTATATTAATAGCTCTTCTATCTGCTTCAAAAGATAATATTTCACACATAGTATCAGCAGTTATTCCTCCTAACTTCTTGCAAAAGTCATAAAAAGATTCTAAGTAAGCCTTGTACAATGTATTACGAATAATTTCAATATTCATTTCATCAAGATCCTGTTCACTTATACAATCAACAAAGAATGGAGCCAATGGAGTATCTACAAGAACAGCATTATAAAGTTCAGCTGGGTTACCAGCTACATGAATAGCTTCCATTTGTTCAAAGCTACCCAAAGGATGACATTTTGGAATAAGTTCTGTAATTGGACGCTGATGTAAAGTACCAGTTATAAGAAGTATAATATTATCAATCATATAACTGTAAGTGATATAATCTAGAAATGTACTGAGGGGTTCTACAGCATGATTTCTCATATGTTGAAATTCTATAACAAGTTTTTCTCGTAATTTATCATCAATTACAGATACAGCCAATGGACTGGGTTCATTAGCTAAGAATTGACCATAATCAGTTGATTGTAAGTGCAATTTTAAATCATCCAAAGTCTCGCATTGCTCAAGATTAAGATAATCAGCATGTTTCAATATGCCACATTTGAAACCACGGCATAAACCTTCTAAGTATCCTCCATCAATATTAAAGAAGCATCCAGTGTCCACCATTATGTTAATTCTGAAAAAATAAAATTGAATTGATTAAAATATATGTACACGCCCTGTTTTACAAAGTTTAAATTAATAATCAACTGACTTAATAAGTAAACAATGTAGTTTAAATAATTAAAAATATAATACACAGGGTAATCTAAAAACTTACGTTTAATTATTAGTTTAATACTGAGGATAAATACAGGCCAAGAAGTTTTATTGTTAAGGAAGAAATTAAAATAAAAAATGATCTATACAAGTACAAAATAGTACACACCTTAATTTTT